AAGTGCTTCCTTACTGCAATGTTGAAGCACTACTCCAATTGACACTCCCAACTCCCATCTCTGCGACCGGTGTCCACAGTAAAGCCTCCTGTCCATACCCACAAATCACCTTGCACGCACGCACGCACGCACACATACCCACACACACAGCCACACATTCGTGACCCAACAGAGGCAACTCCACAGTTGTCTGGACGACCACCACCGTCCACACCACATCCACAAGTCGATGCACAACTCGAATGCACTACACATCCATCCTCCTCCACCTCGAAGGTTCACGTCGGTTTGCACCGAAGGTGTAGGCGTAGGATGAATTGCGTTGCTTTCGTCTAGACGACATCCTACTACAGGAGATGCACTCCACAGGGGCATGTGAAGCAATCGGTGGAGTAAACGCCAAAATGCAGGAGCATGTGAGGAGATGCAGGCAACTCCACCACCCACTCCACACCTCCGCACTGCTGGCATGTCATCAAAGTGGTTGTGGATGGTGGGAAGGGGGCGCCATCCGTCCACCTCCTTCAGATTGTTTGCACTGTTATTTGCCAACTCTTTTGGTGTTGTAGGGAAGGTGAGGTAGAGGTGACTGCGAAAGGCGGTCACATCACTCCTGACATAGGCACCTCTTCTATCCTATATTGTGGTCTTGTAATCCAGTTGATCGAACCTCATCAATATCATTTTTGCATATAAAGAACGCTGACATACCGATGCTTGATGGATGACATCCCAAATTCTTTTAAATTTGAGTTGTAAGATGACTTTGCAAGCTACCAGCCACTTACATCTCCTCATTTTGGGCTCCAGTACTCTTTGTTAGCTCGTTTGTGACACTCACATGGATCGTCCCTTCCAAAAGACGACGTGGCGTGCTAATCAATGCAGTGGGAAGAGAGACTCAGAGCTCAACATTCACTAGACCCTTTCACCATCTTCAAGGTGCGTACGACACTACTTATCCAAACCCAAACCTCCACTTTGCTCACTGGGGTGCTTTCTATGGAAGTTTTCTGCTAAGCACAGAGAGGACCAGATTGACGCCATGAGAATTGCCCACACATTAATTCCACCTCTGCAATACCCGCCATCATCTTTATGCAGGCTACGATTAGCCAACATGGCCAAATCACTTTCTTCTATCCACTCAATCCAGGCATGCACATTTGAGCAACTTCTTGCTCACCTAAGCCCATGATTTAACTCTTTCTGGCATGCACAATTCTACGTACATTATACACACTTTATTTTGGTAAGAGGCCTGCAAAGTGGGATCTGAGTCATCACACCATCGCAGCTAGCCGTGGCCTACGCTCTGTACCGATGACTTTGGATGTTGTGGCCTTGTTTGCTTGTCAGTCATCGTGCTTACTTGGGTCCTGACTAATACTTTCGAATTCCCTTAAGCAAGGGCAATATTGAAAGGTGTAGCTTTTCTATAACGCTTGAAGTGGGTGTTTCTCCCATCTCGTTGTCTGATACAGTTAATATTTTACGACATAAACAACAAGGTTTATGCAGAAAATTATGTATTGCATAATTTTGCTGGAATCAAGTTGACCAAGATTACCGTAGAAGTAGATTTAAAAATAGTGAATTGTTCACGGACAAATGACAACTTCCAGCCTTTCATTATAGATAAGTAAGACAACTCAATTTTATTCTTTCGCCAGCTCCTACACAGGATCATCGTGTATACCTTCAAATCTCCCAACCATTTGCAGTTGAGCCTGATTCTCTCTGTGCTCTGGATTTCCTTGAGGTGCGGGATGGAGCATTTGGTTTCTCCCCTCTCATTGGTCGGTTCTGCTCCCGTCTCCCGCCTCCTGAAAATGAGGAAATTAGGTCAACCAGTCGCTACCTCTGGCTCCGATTTCGAAGTGATAACACCCTACCACATGACGGGTTCAGGGCGATATTTCACTTTCAGAAAATTGGTAAGTTTAGTTTATGTACTCAATCCTGAAAAAAAGGAAGATTAAAAGTCTCCTTGCACAGCTGGAGTTGATAGTAAATCAAGGGTCTCCTTTGATTACCCGTCCATTAATCGTTTGAAAGGTCTATTTTCTCATACTATTAAACAACAAGTGGTTTCGTTGTTTTTTTTTGAAGCCCACTGGGGAAACTATGTGACAGCAATTAATGCATTAATTCATGTGACAAATTTGCGAACTGACCAATGGAATGACTAAACAAAGTTAACCGGCGAATTAAAAATCAGGCATGAGTAACCTTAAGCTTTATTGGTTTAGTCTTCTGTTTCAGGCTTTTTATTGGTTAGCAGCTAAATGGTTCCTTAAGATAGCCGTTTTTGGCTTTTAGGTGTCGGCCAAGAAAATCATGAAGGTAATCCTTGGTAAAAATTGTTTTTTGTAATAACGAAATATTCTTACCTCTCCCATGCGCTTTGTAGACCCACGTCCAAAGATTCTTCGTAAGTTTAACACTTATTTGTGTCCTAGTTTTTTTTTAACTTGCTGATAAAATTATTTGCAAGGTTGGTTTCGAAGGTTTCGTTATAAACTTTGAAGCGTTAAAAGTAAGTCAGATTCCTATATTTTGGCATTTACCAGGTCGGCATAATGTCATTCACCTAAGTGAAGATGAACAGTGGACGATGCGGAGTGAATTCTTGACTAAACAACTAAACCACGTCAGTACAGAAGAGCGGCAGCTTCCCTTAGAGGCTGTCTTCGACATACGGTCTCCCCCAGAAACGCATGTAAGTTATTCCTCAGCCAGTAAAATCAGATCGAAGAGATTGTAAATACAGCCCTAATGGAGACAGTGCTACTCATTGTAGATCTTAATGCATGTGCACTACTTTCAAGTGCCGCTGATAGCGGCTTGGAGCTGTGATCCCGATTTTCTTGCCAAACAAAAGGCAATCAAGTACTGTGATTTCCATTCGGGCTTGAGTTCAATGAGGGCGGATATTTTTACTGATAAATCGTCTAATATTATTCAAGGTTAGTGTCTAATCTCTGACCATTTAAACGAATGTTAACATTTCATCATCAGTATGCTTACTAAATCCCAACTTACTTCAAATCTGTAATGTTATAATTGTGCATTGCCGTCTCGGATGGTCTGAACTTTTAATGAATGGTTGCATCAAATGTAGCTCTAATAACTAATTAGAAGAAGTTTCTGTCCGTTCAATCCTTTACGGACAATTATATTTTGTAGCTTCTTGTGGTGTGGTGATCTCCTATAAAGATGCGGCTTCTTATTTATCCGAGCGTGGACGTGTCTGCTACTGCGCTAACCATTGACATCCAGGGCTTCTCTTGCAGTTGAGATTTGTTAATAGCTTACAAAAAGGCCACAGAGATTATAGACACAAGAGTAGTAGAAATTGTAGGTAGAAAAGTGCACATCCAGAGGGCTAAGTAAAACAATCATCTCGCATTCTTTTTTGAGAAATTGTGATTAAATGAAGATGAGCGTCCCATTTCTTTTTAACCCTAGCATCTATAATGCACCTTTTTTCGCTTGATGCAAACTTTTTGTATCATTTTCCATGAAAATGAATTACCCTTTGAGTAGTGACGTTTGAAATTCAATTACTTATGGTAGTCTCCTGCCACCTATCACAAGTACTTGGTCCTTTAAAAAATGGGCTTTTTAAGAGGCATCAACAAAAGCTGCTTTCATTTCCCATTAGGGTGAAATCGTTGTAACTTCCAAGTGCTCACACCACAGATCTTAAATTACTCTTGCTACAGTCGCAAATCGGGAGTTGAGTATTTAACAACCTACAAGAAAGTGTTTAAAGGCTCGTAAAATAGTACCATCAAAAGTCCATGATAGAGGCATTTTAGTCCAATTTCCATCTCGAAAGCCTTTTAACTCTTAACAGTCTCTTTTCAAATAATTCTTTTATTTTAGGATGTGTGTCAATCTTCAAATTTTAATTTCTTACAAACACTTTTTACTTATGGTTGATGTTATCTTGAAAAATTACTACATGTCAGACTTTAACAAGCTGACCAATCAGCATCCAGTTGACCGTTATTAGCCAATCAAAGGCATCGGTGGGATTTTCGTCCCCCAAGACATTCCTTAAGACGTAATACTCGGTACGCAGAAGGGTCTAGGACCTGAGGCATGACCTAGAGAATTGTTAATTGAGCGTCCATAACTAAATTTAAGGCTAAAAGAAAAGAATGTATTACATAGTTCCTCGCCCTCGGCGCTGTCATTGGTTGGCCTCGTGTGTCAATCACCACAGCACAATCAGCTGCGAAAAAAGCACTTACAGTTCAATTGTAACAGTTATCAAGTTTTTTACACAAATAAGGCATAACAGAACTGCGGTGTCACCGACTCCCTCTTGGGATTTTTACCGGACCAAGAGATTCGTCCTGTTTTAGAAACACATTTGGCGGTTGAGAAGTCAGATGACTGTCACGTGTGTTCATAGGTAAGCGTTGAGACATCAGCTCAAAGAAAAAGTTATGCTAGGAAGTAAGGAAAAGTAAAGCGATTCCATAGGATGAGGGTTTTGTGTATGTTTGCATTGTCGACACCTTTTACAAGTTTAGTGGGAAGGCTGACCATTAAATCCATTTCCACATGGTTTTAATCCAGTCTCGAATCCGTTGCTAATATCGTTGTTTCAGAACACCAAACATTGTTCTCAGTCCTCCTTCTATGGGTTGTCAGCAATTTTTTCCATTCACATCACATGTCTTTCGTTTGCCTCGGTGGTGGAAGTTGGAGTGAATGTTCTATTCCATGACTGTAGCATTGCACGACAAGGGATGGCATCTCATTCAGGCAGATAATGTGTACTCGACAAAAATGCGAAATCTGGCCTAGCAGCATGAACCAGAGCCCAGTCAATCCATCGAAGGCATTACCGATGTCGGGCTCTTTATTTTCCACTACTATTGACTTCAAACTCGCATATAATATCTAACTTAAGTCTATTCTGACACCTTTAAACAATTGATCTTGCAAAGTAGTGTATTCCTACCAGTAAGACTTACTACTTGTTGGCTATTTAAAAAAGGCATCCCTCCATGCTGATGAAAAGTGGAAGAGAAGTAATGCATTACGACCTCGTCCTCCAAAGTCCAAGTAATCATTACTAGTCGGATAAGACAAGACTTGAAATAGCATTATTAGCGTTCCAATAAACCGAATCGGTGGACGTGGGTTATGATAGAAACTTTGAATGGAAAAAGGAATGTGTAAAACGCTAATCGGCATAGCAGTGACTCCGGCACCCAGTTTACAGACCGCACACCATGTCGTATAACAAAATTACGCACAAAAAGCTGACCATGACAGCGAAACTAGGGCTAGTAGGATGAAGGAATCTGGCCTTGACTCCTTCAGCTAATGTATGTGGGCGCCTTTAAGGCATTAAAATAAACACCTGCCTTTGTTTGTTTGTTTGTTTTTTTTCCACTTCTAGTGAAACAGTATACTCCATCAATACCCGATCCAGCCTCATACATTGATGGAACTCACACCTTCTTGGAGATCTACACCGATGGAAAGACTGTTTCTGAGTCCTCCCCTCCGTGTCCTCGTGTTGCTAGATTTTGTATTGCCTCGGTGCATACTGATTTGTCTGATGCCTCAGACAGTTCGTCGATCTCTTCTCCCACTGCCACCTCCGGTTCTGCCTCCCCTTCCGATAAGAGTGATGGTGATGGAAATATACGTCGACAATTCCTTGTTCCATCTCCGCGTCTAGTAGCTCGATTGGTGGTTGCAAAGCCCTCCAAGCCACCGCGCTCTACACCTGAGACGGGACATGTGGGTGTGCTGGAGGATGGAGTAGATCCATTTGAGACAACCAAGACTCTCGATATCTTCTCTATGCTACCAAATTTTACCTTCACGTTAACCACCCTTTCACCACGGGTGGACGGAGGTTAGTACAATTTTCATTTTATTCCTTACAAGGCAGTGTTAATGTTATTAACTGACACATTTTGTCGTCCTCATTCCGCAGTGTGCCACCAGCCTTGGTGCACAGAAGGCCGAGGAAATGGGTGACCTTTAGATGGGATTGACAAATCCCACTAGATCCTGTAATTAACAATGCTTTCCATAGGAATGTAAATGAATTGTCGGGAAGCTGTCGGTGACACTTCAACCCCTTTGGGGTGACTTCTGGCAGATTCAGACAGCCACTAAAATGTCTTCAGTCTCCCAAAAAAATAGGAGTTTGACTAAGTCGTCAAATTCCATTTAGTTATGCCTGTTGGATCCACACGATCCGTGGTACCGAACACAGCTGTGTGCGAAGTCCAAACGTTGTGCTCTATTGAAGTAACAACAACAACTACTACAACTACTACTATAACAGCTGAAGCATGATTTTGTGCATTGCTACACCCCTAATTCGTAAGAATGTTTGCACTTTGGTTAGGGTGGCATTAAGGGAGAAAAATATTGTCCTCCCTTCCCCCCCTCCTCCCCCCCAGTCCGAATTTCCCCAAGTCATGTTTTCTCGTCCAGTGAAGTCACATGTTTGCATGTGAATAGAGTGGGCAGTTGAGGCATCAAAGGGGGACAGAATAGCTCGTGTTCCATTAAGCATAGGGAGAGGAGGTGGAATTAAGCTGTAGTGGAATACCTTCTCCACCCGAATGAAGAGTTTGTCAACACACCAGTTAATACAGTTGAACAATCGTATGCTTCTAGGCGTAATTACTTTTTTTCATGCCTCATTCATTAGTTCATTCATCGCCCTCGTGTCTTTTCATTCTTTCGTCCCCTTCTCACATTTATTGCCGGTCCATCCATCCTCATCATATCCACTCGACTTTCAACCACCTACCCATTTATTTTTATAATGGAGTGAAAGTACCTGGCGTTCTTCTTCTTCTTCTTCTTCCTCTTACAAAACGTTTTTTTTTTGCAAAAAACTGCCTCCCTCATTCCATTTCCCTAGGCAGCTAAAATATTAACGAGATAATTCAACTGAAAAATTTTATCGCTTATTTTTTCTCCAACACAACTCACCTTTCATCTACTAGTAAAATTTTAAAGAACGCAGAAAAGGATTTTTACTGCTATCAAATCTTGTGACTTTTGCGTATGTGTGAACCGACTGGTCTGATAGCCAATCAGAACGCTACGATCCAAGGTCCCCGTACCCTCGCCAGGCCTAATCGCCTTGCCCTCTGAACACAGCTCCCGCTAAATCGGTGTCATTTTCATGCTTTAAAGGAGACAAACTTGTTCACACGGTGGACACATTTATCAAATTATAAATAAGAACCATTTTTGACCAGTTTGAGTAGAAAATGCTGATTAAAAGTCAATGGCTGATGGATAATTAGTTGGAGGAGATATAAATTTGCCACTATTTTAAGAAACTTGCAGATGGCGCATAGCGACTTGTGATGATTAACAGGAAACTAAATTCGATTGGTAAAATGCTTGTTTAGCGATGTCCTATTGGCAGATCGGAATACACCCTGATAAAAACACCATTTTCACTTACTTATGCTACTAGCGCAAACTTCATTTACTTGGAATTTAGATCCATTCTGATTGGGAATTTGTCTAAATATGTTCAAGAAATTATGCGATTTGGAACGCCCACATCTGATTGGTTGATACCCTCGCGTTTGGCGCTTGTCATTGGTTGGCAATTGGAAATGCGCATCTGCATGCTAAAGGCCTTCTTTTACATTTAATGCTACTCCATTGCAAAAACTTTTTTTCCTTCGAAGAACCGCGGGAATGGTGAAGTTGTATGGATTGTATGGGTGCCCGCATGCCTGTCTCTAATCCTGCCGGTGTTGACAATTTGCGCTGCATTTAGTCTGTGCACCCAATCAACGCGCATGTGACGAGAGCTACTGCATTCAGACCAGCCATTGGTGCGATGGAGTGATCAACTGTCCACTGGGACAAGATGAGGGCGACGCCGCATGCAACCCAGGTCAGAGTCTTGCTCCTATTCTGCATGACTTCCTCACTGCGTATTAGTAAAACACCCAATTGAAGGTCCTGATTTGATGTTTGGCTTCTATCCAATCAAAATACTTGTTTGTAACTAACACCTTTTCCCATTATTTAGATTGCCGCATATGCATTGCTACTGACATCGATTGTGAAAGATGGCTCAATAGGTGTTTGAAAGTGCAATGTTTGATTGCATGCCCTTTTTGGTTAATGCCTGAACCATAAAAGATAAACTTCTACAGCAATTTGATTATCCTTCACGAGACCATTATCGAAGGTTCCAGAGGTCGCTATATTTGCGTCAGAAAAATAGGCAAAATGGAAGTTCGAATTTGTACTTTGTACAAATGGCTAGGACGTTATTGGAATAGTTGAGTTGACTAACCTTTTCCTTCGAAATCAACAGTAATTTTCTATCATTAGTTAAAGGCCAAAGGTATGTTGAGGAGTTAAGGCGTTAAAATAACTGTGAGTAAAGTTAAACGATTCTAAACCTAAACATAGCCAAACACTGTGTACATTGACAATATGGAGAACCGGAGGGGGGAGGGGTGAGGCTCAATCCTTCCTCTGTCGGAGATAGACTAGTTACAGGTTTAGTTTTTAATTAATGGCAACCACAAAAACAGCAGTCGTCTGCTTTGCTTCTGTTTGCGAAAACATCTCCTCTTTAGTTACCTCCATATATGAAATGCTTCCCTCTAAGACAGGATTTGGCAAAACTCTTAACCGAAAATCATACTGTTTGCCCTTCACAATCGGTGGAGGCATTGGCAGTTCAGATATTATAAATTTAGGGTCTTCCAAACTCATCATTGTTTCTTCCTTACGTGGCTTCCATAATCAGTGTTGGACAAACTGTCCACTCTCTAACCCATGTCTGATTTCAAAAATGATCAATCATCACATCAGCATCTACCATCAAGTTAGATAACTCCCTCATTGATTGTGCCTTTGTCAATCTTGCCAACATTGAAATGAGATCCACCCGTCAATGCTGCTCGAGGCTAAATGAGAGCTTTAGGAATAAGTTAATCCTAGGGAAAAAAGATGTAATTGTCCTGTCCAAGAGAGGTAATCTCCTTAGGATGGTGTAATTGACTGCCGCTGGCGATCTATTTTAAGGAGGGGGAGAGGAGGAGCAGCAGGAGGGAAGAAAAATCAAAACCAATTCTTTTCAAGTGCATTGCCTTTTTTTGCCCTCAATCCATTGGCTATTGTTGCTTCATTGTATTATTTCCCATAAGGGATGAAAGAGATTTGTCTCCTGGGAGATTTTATGTACACGAAGAGCTGAGGAGTGAAACGAGAACTTAAAATTTTGCCACCATTGCAAAATCGGCTGCCCTGGAGGTACCAAACCCACAGTAGTACGTGTAAAGTGTGTTCTGTTAACAACATCTTGAACACGTCTTGTGGGAGTGTTCCAGTCCAAATGCCGCTAAATTCAATGACAGGCAACAGTGGCAGTTTGCGTATGGCCGAAGGTATTGCCCTAACAAGAGCGTAAAACCCACACTTTACTGGCTCAAGTGTGGTAGGATAGAGTGCGGAATGCTACGCCAGAATGGGTATGTATCAACAATTCCATGTCGGTACAACACATTAGTTTCCTGAACGAACATTCAAAACATCACAACATCAATCTGACGGCCCTTGAGGGCCTGACACTGCCATATGCGGTGTTCTTGAATGGCGAGAAGCGGAAACCATATAGCTAGGAATGCCAAAGTGAGGTAAGCTATTCTTTAGTGCATTTGGAAGGTTAGTGCTTGGTATTGAATAAACGCAGTCATGTAGCCTTTTTGTTTTTGTGTCCCTTTTAAAAGGCTTGTATGCTTTGAGCACTCCTTGCGTCATCAGTTTGAAGCTTTGCAGCCATGCCTGCTTGCCTGATGCTGTGTATGTCTTGTTTTCGAAGGCGAATACACATGCACATGCCTGTGGGCTTTCTACATTTTGTTTAAACAATCATTTGGCACTAGAAGTAGCCATGCTTGACCCTTCATACCTCCCATTTCTGTCTCCCCACTCATTCTGATTAAGGAAGTTGGTTGTAACATCAATTAGGTAGAGCTTTGGAGGGCACAGTGATGTCGCACTGATATTTGCACAATAGTAATGCGTCCTCACCACTATAATATGAACTTTGCATTTTCTTCCCCCTCCCTAGCCTTAAACTTACCCAACTACTCCCCTTTATTTATTCTGTTCTGTGTGAAAGTGACCTGATGATCTACCTGGCGAGTGCCCTACACCAGGCGGTTTAAGCTGCAAGCCCGTTGTGGCTTCCGGCAAACCAGTAAGACGGTGCCCTAGGGATTGCCATCAAGCTACATTGACGGTGATTAAGCATTCCTTTGACAGAAGCATCTGCGAGGGTGAGTGTGGATGTGATTATGTGTCTCCTGCTACCCGCAAAAATGACGTCCTTCTGAGTGAGTCACGTTTCGTATCTTAAGTGATGTGACAAATCGCGTGACCCAATTGTAGAGATGACAAATTTGAGGGTCGAACCGAGGCAATTGAACATAGAGGAGAAACGTACGATGGAATTTTGTGTTATACTTTCTAAATGGGAATGACATCAGTCAGACCGTGTAATTTTATTGATAAATGGCGCCACAGAGAAGAGACGTCTGAGTTAGTAAAAGACTCAGAAGTGATGTGATCGCCTTCCACAGTCAGCTCTACCTCACCTTCCCTACAACACCAAAAGAGTTGGCAAATAACAGTGCAAACAATCTGAAGGAGGTGGACGGATGGCGCCCCCTTCCCACCATCCACAACCACATTCATGACAATGGCAGCAGTGCGGAGGTGTGGAGTGGGTGGTGGAGTTGCTTGCATCTCCTCACATGCTCCTGCATTTTGACGTTTACTCTACCGATTGCTTCACATGCCCCTGTGGAGTGCATCGTCTGTAGTAGGATGTCGTCTAGACGAA